TGAACTTTTGTTATTGACCAAATACTTATTTTCCACCATAATTTGCAAATAAATTCTTTAAAAATCAGACAATGTGATTTTCTGGATTTTTTTTTCTCATTTTGTCTCTCATAGTTAAGGTATACCTAGGATGAAAATTACAGGCCTCTCTCATCTTTTTAAGTGGGAGAACTTGAACAATTGGTGGCTGACTAAATACTTTTTTGCCCCACTGTAAGTGCCAATCTAGGAAATCAAATGCAAACTGCTCCGCACCATGCAGAACAGAGAGCTGCCATTTTAACGACAGATTTAAACAAACTTGAAGTTAACCAACCTAAAAAGAAAAAGGCTTCTTATCCCCCCTTCACAGGAATGTTTCTGAACGAGTCGTGACACCGCGTGTTTACACCAGGGTGGGGTCTGTGTTTAGGTGGGAGTGGGCGAGCATAAGCAGTCTACCTGCAGGTATTCGGACAATGCCGGCCATTTAAAAACAGGTCTTGTTCTCTTCACGCCCCTCCCCCCTCCCTCTGTGCATCAACGACTCAGATTTCTGGAACTTCCCACAGTCAACAATAGTGCATCGCAACCTTACAAATGACATTTACACAATAAAGTGAAAGAGGGCAAAGCACTTTGTTGTTCAGATTAGTAATAATTTAACAGCTAAACCACATGATCCAATCCATTTGAGTAAAAGCTAATGTAATGGCTGTTTGCAAAAGTCCCTCATTGCATAAGAAAACTGTGTTCACACACAACTATGGAAACTACTCTATGTCTGAGTGAAAAGGTGTTCTGCAAACTGTGTCATTTCACTGCTGACATTTGGTCATCTTTATCGAGATTGAACTCAAGCTCAAATTCTATAATATTGATTAAAACAATGAAAAGAGAAAAGATGAACCCAATAGCACAAAAGGAGGCAATGCTCAAGAGTGTGTGAAAATCTACAAGTTCTGACTTGAGCTCAGAGCAAGATATCTTGTTTGGTAATCTGAGAGGAATTTCCAAAGAAACCTTTCATCACAGGGAAAATCTTAAGGAGGATCCCAACACCTCCGTCTCTCCTAAAACAACCAACAACCTCAAATCTTGAGACTAAATGTAAACGGCTTAAAGAACTTTGATACATTACCAAACTGTCTAGTAGATTTCTATTTAATAAAAAGAAATACTTTTAGCACCTTCATTGAAAAAGATTACTCCAACAATTAGAAAAGCAAGTAAACTCTTTTACTTCATCAACTATTTGAATGTTACAAATCAATCAGCAATATGCCAGCCTGTTGGTTACTGGTCTTTCTATCTGTGCTAAGTTCATTTTGAGCTGTGTCTAATTGTATCATCATCCCACTTAAACATCCAGTAACCACGTGAATTGATTGGATCCTTTTCCCCCCATGAAGGGTTTTCTTGCTGACGCAATGGTGCGTCTTTGTGTGCGTCACGAGAGACAAAGCTAACACTCATTGACAAAACAAGGCGAAGTGTAAACCGGGCCGGGGTTACCAGGTTGAGAATCGTGAGCAAGCAAGTCATAATTACGACTGGAATGACACTCTTCATGTCCGTCTAGAATACCTAAGATGCCGCAGCTACGACATCATAGTATGACACGAAACATGCAAATGTGCTAAAGCTGCAGTAAATAAACAACTGGGACTTCCCGATATGCATAATATAACAGAAAGAAAGATGAAACAACATGGAGTTGTGCCAACATCCCCTAAACAGTCATATATTTTTTTAATGTGTATTTTTGTTTACTTTTACAAGCTGACCTTTGGTCTAATTTTCCAATAAAATGATGACGCAGCTGTTTTACCAAACACTATCTATGAAATCTCTTCAAGGCTAAGCTAGCAGGCACAGTTATAACCACAGGACAGAGAAAGAAGGAAAACGATTGATGAAACTAAAAACAAACCTAAACTTGTTGCCACTTTGTCAGGCATGCTGGTCAAAACACAGCCGTAATCAGAGCCAAGGACATCGTGCCATTTAGAACAAAAACAAGAACAACTACCGGTAGTATTAAACTACACTTGTGCTTAACTACTAAGCCGAACTTCTCTTGTTTTTTTTATTTGATCAAATGTTGGGATTTGACTCTCTTGGACTTAAAATCACACTGTACATTTTACATTTAATGTAATATTCCATCTGCCACTTACTTATGTATATATAATAACTTGCTGTATATCTTGTTATTGCTCATTTGTAAATTCAACATGTATATTTTCTACTTTCTTGTTTATTTATTTTAATTTGTATTGTACAATGCCATGTCTTTGTATGCTGCTGCAACACAAACAAGTACTATCTTATCATAATATCTAACTATATTGTCCTTGAAAAATATGTATAATGTAAAATAAAATCTTTACTGCATGTTGCTGTTACAGCTACTGGAAAGGAGCTTCAAATTGTAAGTTGACACACACGCTATAGAGCAGAAGTCTGTTACTGCTTTGGTTAGTGTGGATTAAAAACCGAGGACTTCTGGACAGCGGTCTGTGCTAACGGTTCACTGTTCTTTCTCTTGAAAAGCTTTATACTGTATGAAAAATAATCAGCCTCAAAGTAAACCGTGCAGAGTGGAGCTGTAACAGATAACAGTATCCTTAACTGCACCCTCGCTGACATTCAGAATAGTAGCCTGAATGCACGCTGAATGTTATGTAAGTTCTACACAGGAAGAAACACCTCAAAACCTCAAAGCATGAATTTCTAACAGTTTCCTGAAACATAAGCAAGGAAGACGTACTCTATTGTTCAGTGATCAAACATTAACCCTCTCAATGTCATTCGGAGCATGTGGCATCACTTAAAACGGTTTCAATCCATTAACATGGGAGGAAAATGCATTTACTAGAATCCTCTAATAGCCTAAATTTGACAAACTGACTTATTTAAAAGGATTATTCGACGCACAAAGCACAAATGGGCCAAGATAACTGACAACATTCATTTAAGTTAGCATTTATGTATCAGCAGTTTGTATATGGGCCTGTGTTAGCCTCTTCCAATTAAAAGTAAAGAGTGACAGTTTGTGCAGGTCCCTACCATTATACAAAAAACTATGTAAATACACTGAGGCCATAAACATATCACATATCCCAAGGTCATAAACCGCCACTTTTTCTGAAACACCATCATGCTTTGTGTTTCAATGAACTGAAGTCACAGAGAGGTGACAAGGAGCCCTTTAACACCAAACCAGGTGGGAGTATTTGTAGAGGAAAATGTGCATGACATGTTCCACTACCTACTGTAGCAATGAACTCTAGCTGCTCAGTGACCTAACAGGAGGACACTGTGGTATAGCAGGGTATATGCAGGAATCCTGAAGTCAAATGTAAGACCTTTTAAGACCTTTTTTAAGACCCTTTCCGTACATTTTAAGACCTCATCGCCACTTGGAGTTTTAACCGGTTACCTTGGCGACACACGTTACCTCACATTTACTATATACAGTATTGATTGTCCTTCCTCCTTATCTTCCAACCATTTGGACGGTTCTATAATTTATGTTAAAATAAGTAACTGAAACGTTTTTTGTAGGTAAATAACTTGAAATTTTGTTTAATTTACTTTATTAAACTTGTCGATAGGTTTGACAACTAAATG